CATGCGGCGTGTACGTTTGCGATTGCGTAAGATGCACGCAAACACACCAGGGTTCGGTAGAATTAAGTTGAGTGTGAAACCAGACCAACACTGCGGGGGGCGCCGGGAACAATCGCGCGCGGGCTCGGACCGCAGCAAACGAGCCCAGTGTGAAAGCACCGTCACCTGGCTCCACAATTTTTCATATCAAAGCAGTGAAGGCGGGGGAGGGGGAAGGAAGAGGATGGCAGATTAACCAGCAGGGCGCGCACATCGCACAGACTGGTGTGTGGAGGTGAATTACAGTGAGCCGTTTGAGACGGGAGACCAAAAATAAATATGTGGTCAATAGTAAAACGACACGTCGACTAAAAAAATTGGCGTCGACTAATTTGCATGGTCGATTGCGTCGACTAAGTCGACTAATCGCGGCAGCACTAAAAACAACACCAAAAAATATATATAGCTGGGACAATAACTAACAACAGAGGTTTCACCTATCTAAACACAAAATAACACAATGAGCTAGCCAACCACATTGGCATAGCACAAGAGGCACAAACAAGCAAACAGACAAAAAGGCAGGACAAGGAAGATAGTGCAGCAGCAAGATTTCATGTCAAGTGTAATGTAAACAGTCCTGACTATCTATTAACCATTTCTTTAAGTTATGTTTAAAAGAATCGTACGATTTAAAATTCCTAATGTGAATTGGAATGAGATTCCATTCACAAGCAGCCCTTACTGAAAAAGCTGTTTGACCAAACGCACTCTTCCTTAACGGAACAATGCAGTCACCTCTTGCTGCACTCCTTGTAGATCTGAGAGCATTTGGTGCCGTGCTCACAAACTGGTGCAATACAGGAGGAGCCAGTCCATGCTGAATTTTGAACACAAGACAGAGATCTGCATATATAATCAAGTTTTTGAAATTCAATAGATTATATTTTTTTTAAAACATGACAATGATGATAATATGGATTTCCTATCGAGTACTTTAACAGTTTTATTATATAGGGATAGTAATGGTTTAAGAGAAGTGTTGCTAGCTTGTGACCAGATTGTCAAACAATAGGTGATATGAAATAAAATCATGGAGTGCATGAACATCATAGCGGCCCTTTTTGACATGCAGCTACGGACATATCTAAAATTTGCCAGGTTGTACTTAATGTGATTACAAACCTTCTTAATGTGTAATTTAATAGTAAGATTGTTATCTATGTAAACTCCAAGATATTTAAACTCTGAGACGACTTGTAGTCTCTCCGCTGCTACGACTATACATGTTCTACACAGCGGGTTTTAGATTTACTTAAAAACATACATACAGTTTTGGATACATTCCGTTGAAGACAATTGTGATTTAACCATTCTGTGATCTTTTGCATTGATTTTGATAGCAGATCAGCAGCTTGAGCTGCACTGTTAGCATGTACAAAGATTACTGTGTCATCTGCATACATTTGGGTATTGACATTAGGACAAACATTTGGCAAGTCATTTACATACAATGAAAATAAAAGTGGACCCAAAATAGAGCCCTGTGGGACCACTGCAGATAAGGAAATTACCCTCAATTGATGATTCCTAACTCTAATGAACTGAGTCAGATGTGTTAAATAAGATTCATCCCATTTAATAGTGCCTGTATCAAATTTTTTTTTTTTTTTTACTTAGATAAAAGAACTCTGTGATTAATGGTGTCAAATGCTTTTTTTAAATCTAAGAAGACAGCACCAACAACCCCTCCTCGATCCAACTGTGACTTAACTTTGTCCACGAAATAGCAATTGGCTGTTTCTGTTGAATGATTAATACGGAAGCCAAATTGATTTGGATGTAGAGAGTAGGAACTGGTATTTAAATGATTTATCATTTGTTCTGAGACAAGTTTTTCAGCCACCTTGGAAACCACCGGGAGGATACTAATAGGTCTATAGTTACAGATGGACAAACGATCACCTCCTTTGAACACAGGAAAAACTGCAGCCAACTTCCACACATTTGAAACAATCCCTGAGCAATTGAAAGGTTAACAATTTTCGTAATTGGGTATACTAATAATTCAGAGAGCTCTTTCAACATAACAGTGTTCATTCCAATGACATCTTTCGCTCGAGATGGCCTAAGAGATCTAATCACTCTCACTACATCTGCCTCAGGAATATATTCCATGTTGAAAGCTTGCTCTGTTTGTTCGACTTGACAAGGAGTGTTCTTAGGCCCCATTTACACTGCATGGTTCAAGTGACCCAAATCCGATTTTTTCCTCTCATGTGGCACAGATCGGATATGACCCATGAACGTGTAAGCAGAAAAAAATGCATGGATTCCGATTTTCTCAGATCGGATTCAGGCCTCACTCATATGTGGCAATAAATCGGATATGAATCGGATATGTGCATTTGTGTCTGCCATGTAAGCCGACAAATCGGATATTCCCCAGTAAATGCGAGTTGTACATCATTAAAAAAGTGACGTCAACTCAGGTGGACACCACCAGCTGAGATCACATGACTTATTATAGGCGCGATGGAGGACGAAGGATACACAGAGTGGAGCAATGCGGAGGTTTCATGTCTTTTGAGTGTTTGGGGCGAAGAGACAGTGCAGGCAAAAATGCAGGGTTGTTACAGAAATAAATCCGTGTTTGAAGACATTTCACGAGATATGGGGAGGCACGGTTTTAAGTGCTCGTGGCTACAGTGCCACCGTAAGATAAAAAGCTTTATGACTTTTAAAAATATTGTGGAAAGCAAAACACTGGATAATTTTATTCGCATCTGCATCCATTGTATTTCGTGCTGTTTTACTTCCCTTTCCGGGTCAGAACGTCTACATTTGGTAGTTTCAGCAGTGTATAGTGTAAATGCAAAAATCGGATACGGGTCACTTTCAGAGCCACTGCATTAGCAGCGCCGCCGGTCGCCGTGTCTCAGGGTTTTTAGGTGTGTAAGTGAATGTTGTGATATTACTGATCATGGGAAGATTTTGCAGAGGCGCTGAAAAACATTGTAAGGGAAACACTGGCAGAGATAGTGTCAACTAGACTCTCCCCTGTGAAGGCCTCATCGACATTGGCACTGATCCTCAACAAACCCGGAGAGACCCAGGCCGAACAGAAGAACCTGATATTGGAACCGTAGGAACTTCCTGTGAGATGGAAGGATGGATATGTGGAAGTATGCGTCTTTTATATCTATCATGACAAACCAGTCCTCGGATCTTATTTGAGGCTGATTGAGGCTCTCGAGGTGTTTTAGGTGATTTCGGGTGTTCTTCGAAATTCGTCCTTGATCCCCTGTCTGGCAGTGGGTGTCTGGCAGGGTTTGGTCGAAAATTATTCTCGATGTGCGGGCGCGAATGTTGCTTGGCCACAAGCCCTTGGGGCAGACTGAGCTACATGCGTTCGGTGGAAACCAATGTGTCCCGAAGCGTACTGGACGGCGGGATACAGACACTGGCTTCCTGAGGGCTCCGAGTAGCACAGCTAGGACCTTTTTCCCCAAGCCCTCTTAGCTTGAAGGATGGTCCTCAGATCGACCTTCTTTTCAGAAGACTTCGGGGGAAAGCGTCGCCTGTGCCCCTAAGGTCCTTGAGGGGGAGCGCTCGAAGCGACGCTCTCTTTCTGTACCTGCTAGTATGAGGAGCTTGCTGACGGCTGAGGATACCCACTGGAGTCAGCCTTCTTAGATCTCGAGCGGCGAGGGAGATATTCTTGAAGGCCGCAGACTGTTTCTTCACTAACAGCGTTGCCAAACAGGCCAGAGGGCGAAATCGGGGCATCAAGGAGAAAATCCCTGTCTTTTTCCTTGATATCCGACAGGTTTAGCCATAAATGTCTCTCCGTGACTACCATAGCTGCCATGGAGCGGCTGATGGCGCGGGCCGTCTCCTTGGTAATGCGGAGAGACAAGTCTGCGGCCCTACAAAGCTCAGCAATATCTTCTGGTGTAGGTTCCTTGCCCTCATATAGATCATAAAAATGTCAGCCTGGTATGCCTGCATAACAGTCATTGTATGCAGGCAAGCAGGTGTGAATCAAACCAAAAGAACCAAACAAGCATACTGAGACCTCCTTGAAGAAGTGGTTGGACAGAACCAACTGCCTATAGAACTGGGATTTTTTTGACAAAACCAGCTGCCTTAGTCAGCTGCGCTGTGCATTATGGGATGTTTGTTGACAGTTTACACTTCAGCACCTAAGCCTCATGTCAGCTCGCAGACAAACTTGGAGTTGTGAGGAGGTGCAGAGACTCATAGAAATTTGGTACAGTATTTATTCATCTTTGTTAATGTTAGTTATTAACAACACAGCTGTTCATTGTTTGTTCATGTTAGTTCACAGTGCATTAACTAATGTTAAAAAATACAACATTTGATTTTAAGAATGTTGAAATTAATATTAACTAAGATTAATTACTGCTGTAGAAGTATTGCTCATTCTTAGTTCATGTTAACTAACTAATGTAACTAATAAAACCTCATTGTAAAGTGTTACCAAAAATAATATAGATGTTGTTCATGTGTGTTAAACAGATTTCCACCACACTCATCCACTATAAGGAAAATAAATCAGAGGACACAACTATTTGTGTTATTTAATTTTGCACAATTGCATTAATTTAGCAAAATTGATAACATATTGCAAAATGTTACCAAATAGGTGTTGCATTTATTTATTTATTTGTCTGTGGCCCTGATCTTTTATTTTTTTATTAGAGCTTCATCAAAAACAAAAATGTCAATCTTTCCACACACAAAATGCATCAATCAATAATTGGTTTGTTATTGAAAAAAGTTCCCCACTCCTTGTAGATGTTTTCTGCACATAAACATTTATAAGTGCCATTTACAGAATCTCACATATTCGATGTAGTTTAGACTTTTTAAGTGATAGTTATTAGTGATTAAGATTAATTTAAACATGTATTTTACCAACTCCGCTTTTGTTTTCAGGACTTTTATTTTGGAGAGGAGATGTGACGTCATAAGGTTGCGCCGCGCTCCTGCATTATGTTGTGATTCGGCTGAAGAAAGGTATAAGCATTTTAAAGTGTTTAAATTAATGCAAACCGTTGAATCATTTTAATATCTTTTACAGGTTATGTAAAATGAGTTAATTAATATTGAATGTAACATTATAATGAGTTATCTAACATTATTGAACGTTTTTTTGTGCGAGTTAAGCAAATGAGTAGCAGAAAAGGTGCGTCTTTTTTCGCTCCCTATATCGTGAATTAGTTTAGCATAAACATGAATCCCGCTACTTGCAAGTAGTGATGTGAGAAACGGAGCTTTTGAAACTCAAGAGTCAACTGAATCAATCAATCAATCAATCGCCATACAGAATGATTCACTGTGTCGACTCGATCGAAACAGCTCAAACACGGACCAACACAAACAAGTAACGACAACTTTTACTAACCAGCTGCAGTTATTGTAATCTTTTAAATGTAATCTACAAATAAATAAATATAGTAAAAATTATATTGTCTAAATATAAACCAACGGTGTAATTTTTTGTTATTTTATCAAAAAAATTTGTAGGCTAATATAGTTTTGGAGTGTTTTTTTTTTTTTTTAATCAGGTGAATTAAGTCCATTAACTCTCTCACTCTGACTGACTCTCTTACCAGTGAACTGAACTACTGAACTAGATCTGATTGAGACGCTCTCAAAGATTTATTTTGCATTTATTTTTCTTTCTGTTAATTTTTCTCATATTAAACAGGACAGTGTCCAGACACAGAAAAACTCCTGATGAAGCAACTGAGATCCATTATAAACATGCCGTGTATTAAAGAGGAGAGTGAAGACTTCAAGATTGAAGAAACCTTCAGTGTGAAACAAGAAGAAATGGAGGAACACACAGGTTGGTTTCATTCTCAAAGCTGAACTCAGTCATTTGATCCTTATTAAAATGTCCAGCTCTACAGAAATGAGTGATATTTTTGAAGAGTGTCCTAAATAAAGTGGTTATATTTGACACGGGTCGCCTCATGTGGACAGACATGTTAAGATCACATGACCAGAAAAATACAAATGCTACTTCATCCCGAGAAGATCCGACTTCCATGTTGGACATTTGTTATTGCGACGTCACGCATTAAATTAGGCCAAATACAGAAGTTGCCTTAAAACAATTATTTTTAATAACATTAAAAAACCCAATATCTACTTATTTTGATGTAAAGATATATTTATTGGGAATATACATAAAAGTGTGAAATATGTCAATCCACTCGGAGTATGAGCACATTCCCTTTTCTCAGCGTAACAAGAACATAAAAGAGAAAAAAAGAAAATATTAAGTAAATGAAATGCACAATTATAGAACCCTCCAACCTGAGAAGAGCCGACTTCCATGAAATTCCATTTCATTAAATAAGGCAAAATAATACAGAAGTAGCCTAAAAACTATTATTTTGAATAACATTAAAACTAGGGCTGTTTTCGACTAAGGATTTTCATAGTCGAATCTGATTCGTTAGATTTAGCCGTAGTCGACTGATAGTCGAACCTTTTTTTTTTTTAGATTGCAGCCAGACGTTCGGTTGAATAACTGTTCGTCTGTTATAGGACAACTCGCTCTACGTTTATTTAAAATGAACAGCAAGACAACTAGAAGTGAATGTGCTTTCCATTAAATGAATCCTTAACAAAAAAAAAAAACAAAAAAAAACGTTGCAATGAACGTACTTTGTTTTAAATAAATCACACACAGTAAACAAAACCTTAACAAAAAAAACTTTGCAATGAACTTTGCAATTTAGACGCGCAAACTGCGAGCCGGTGCGGTGAGACATAGCCTATATGCGCGGGCAGATTCGGCTTGAAGTCGGTCATCCTCGGATGCGGCGTCGCGCGCGCTGTTACAAAAAAAGCTGTGCACACAGCCAAGCAAAATGGGGTCTTGCCAGTCTTGCGCACCCAACGCGTCATTTTTTGCCGTGCGCACCTTCGCACTCGTGCGGACGCGTCGAGTATAAACAAGGGTTTAGGGCCCTTACATAGTCAACGCATCGGTACGCATACGCGTGCGCAAGGCGACACATCGCTACGCTTCGGCCGCCATTATGCGTCAATGCGTAGCCAAATGTGTCATCCTAGTTTTTGATACGCGACGCGCCGATGCACGCAATACTATGCGTTGTCGGTGGGGGCGACATTGCAAGTAATGTACATAAAAGGGTATATTATTATGTTTACAGAAGAAGAAGATTTGAATACAATGGCGGGCGAAGAGGAAAAGTTATGCGAGCTTGTTCGTATACATCCTTTGTTGCCGCCGATGTAAAATCAGCAATATGCACTCCTCTTCAGTTGCCATTTTGATCTGAATATCACGTGACCCGACTCTAGACTCTACTACCCCCTGTTGCGCGATCGGTGTATTGCATTTCACGCATCGCTGGTGACGCTTGCGTCTGCTTGCGTACTATGAAAAGGAGCGTGTAGCTCGCATCGCTCGCGTTGCTTGCTCGCGTTGACTGTGTAACGCGCGCGCCTCCGCATCCCCTAGACACCATTTACTACACACAATAGGCTTTTTTTCTCTGATTTTGGAAACTCGATCGACTTAAAATGCTTCCAAGATCGACGGGTTGGGGATTCCTGTGACTGTTTTACGGTCAATGACAAGAGTAGCCTACTAATCAGCTGTCTCACGAACTTAACCAGCACATTCTCCCCCACATAGCAAAGCCATAACACAGCGAGGGAGAAGAATTAAGTTACATGAAACAATCCAACTACTTATTTACACTACTGACAAGGGAAAAGTCACTACTCACGGTGTTTATGACTAGCTTCTTCTAGCTTCCTGCGGCTTCTCTTTCAAGGTAGTGACGAAACGCGCTCTGTAACGCTGTTTGTTCGCTCTCGGCTACAGTAGAAACATGACGTCACAATATGGCGACCTTCATAGAAGGGGATTCCCGCGCCTATGTAGATATAAATGCCTCATTCTAAGGTAATAAAAACATTACGTTTATTAAGTAAGTTCTTTATACACCACTGAACACATAGTTATGGATGTCATATTGCATTTCTGTTAATAGATGCTGAAAAAAGTTACACACTGCACCTTTAACAGAACTCCAATGACACTGAACTGACGTCAGCTGAATAATGACACTATTTTCTTTTTAGAGCTGCTTTACAGAAGAACTTATGTTTGCATCATTGAATAATTTTCTCGTTCATCACTGTAAAGCTGCTTTAAAGCTATATGTGTTGTATAAAGCGCTATTTAAATCAACTTGACTTGACTTGACTATCTGTTAATTAAAAGCTGAATGTGTCTGCTCAATGCAGTATAAGCTGAACGGGAGTCGGAGCATAGACCAGCAGCAGTAGCATAGCTGGCAACTCTCACGCATTGGCCGTGAGACACCCGCATTTGATTGGTTTCACACGCTCACACGCCACACTCCCGATTTCTCACGCTGAAGTGTCAACCCGGGCGGTCAAATGCCTGGAAGATGAGTTTATCTATATATCTACCTGTTGAGCCACTCGTGATCGACTAGTTATACCGCAAATTCGTTAAAAATCTCCCGTTATCTAGAGCGAGCGTGCATGCGAGACAGAGATTGTGCTCCAAACCGCGTAGAGCGAGCGAGAGACCTTGCGCGAGCGAGTCTCTAACACCCCCCCCCCCTCCCCCGTCAACAAATCTCACTCGTCTCTACCACCCCCCCCCCCCCCCCCCCGGTCAACAAATCTCACTCGTCTCTAATCCCCCCCCCCCCCCCCTTTAAACAAATCTCAAGGCCGAGCAAAACTCAAAAGTTGGCAGGTATGAAGTAGTCAGATTTCATTTATTACAAGAGCAAGGAGCTGACTGACAAGACGTTGGTGAAAGATTTGGTTTCAAAGCTAATTCTAAAAGGGCCTATTTGGCAATATTTTGGATTTGATATTTTAATATGGATGTGATGTAGCTCAGAGTTCGTGTGTGGGTGATGGAAGGAGACTCGGGGTCGGCAAGTAGTGGAGCTTGTGCACTTTATTAATGATGCTCTTTGCACAGCGCTTTCTTGCGCTCTCAGAATTAACTCAAAACAAAACACTCAATTTTCACATGTAAGGCAATACTCTTCCCGCTGACTACAGCTTCTCAGGTTACCGACGAGGCAGCACTCTTTCCACTGTTCACAGCTTCATAAACCTTTCGTCCCGATCGTCAGCGTGCACGAGCTTCCAGTCTCTCTCTCTCCCTCGTTATCAGCGCAGCCCGCTTATATGCGGTTTCCTCACGCCAATTACTGAAATCACAAACAGGTGTTTGTCATTTGAACTTGACCCACTTACTCACCGCTCGGCTCCGCCCTCACTCTCCCGCTACAGACTTCGCTGAACCACGCTGTATGAGGTTTGTTCGACCAGGGAGGGGCGAGAACACATCAGCAAACTCTGTCTGTAAGTTTCGAATCTCAGCGATCTGGGATGGTGAGAGGTGGTCTCCGCAAATGGCCAGAGCGGAGGATTGAGACTTTGAATTCGCCTCTGGCCCGAGATCCTCCTCCCCACTCACTACCGTCGCCAGCATCGCTGACTCCGCCTCATTCCACTTTTTTAACAGGTTGAGGTGGTAAATCTGATGTGTTCCGTCCCTATCTGATCGAAGGACCTCATAGTTGAGATCCCCGATTCGCCGTGTGACCACAAACGGTCCTTGCCACTTGGCGAGTAATTTAGAGCTGGATGTGGGAAGCAATACAAGCACTTTATCTCCCGGTGCAAATTTACGTAGTTTAGCCCCCCTGTTGTACAGCCGACTTTGTTTGTCCTGGGCCTGTAACAAATTCTCCATAGAGAGCCGCCCCAACGTGTGGAGTTTTGTTCTCAGGTCCAGGACGTATTGAATTTCGTTTTTGCTATTCGAAGGTCCGTCCTCCCAAGCTTCCCTAAGTACATCCAGCACCCGGTTGGGCTGGCGACCAAACAGCAGCTCGAAAGGGGAAAACCCCGTGGAGGCTTGGGGGACCTCGCGTACAGCGAACAAGAGGGGTTCTAACCACTTATCCCAATTT